GGTGGCCGCGAAGGGCGGAGCGCGCAGCGGCAGCCAGGCGGCGCCGCCGGTGACGTCACGCGCGGCGGCGGCGGCCACTGGCGGCCTCCCTCACTCCCCCCCCACCTCCCCGTGCCAGCGAGTTGCGCGTGGCCGGAGCGGCCCCCGGGGAGCATAGAGACGAGCGGGGGGGCGGGGGGAGAGCCGGGCCGGGCCGAGCCGAGCCGAGCCGAGCCGAGCCGGGCCGGGCCGRGCCGAGCCGGGGCGCTACCTCCTTAACACCCAATGATCCGTCCTGCTGTCGAAAGCCGGGAAAGGGGAGGCCTGTGCGGGACAGGAGAGGCCATTGACAGCAGGAGAGATGGGAAAGAAGCAAAGATACCCTTAGAAATCAGCAAAACTTCATTATTATTATTATTATTATTATTATTATTATTATTATTATTATTATTATTATTATTATTATTTTGGTACTTGAAGAGTGTTGAAGGTGCCGGGGGTCCCTGGGCAAGTGTTGCCTTTAGTCTGGCCCTGCTAATGTTATTGAGGGCACTTGGAGTTGCTGGATTTGGAGCTAATTTGGCGCCGTGTGTTAATTTGGGAGCTCGTGTTCCCAGTCGGCGGCTCAGGAAGGAATGTTTGTCAGATGAGAAGGCGAAGAAGAGATGCTAGAGCTGCTGTTCACGTTTTACCTTTTAAGAAAAGGAGAGGAGGATTTATGCACAGTAACACRAAGACAGCAGTCCGCAGGGAAATAAGCAACTTGCTGTATTTAAGTAGTTCCTCAGCACCSAGAAATCCAAGTGGCACCTACCTGTGCCCCATTGGAATGGGAGTTTCCATGACTCCTGAAGTGAGTTATTACCAGGGATAATGAAAAGTATCCAACAGATAGGATGGAAAACAAGTCTAAAAATGAGGATTAAGCACCCAGACTTGTCAGCAATGTGTCTGTGTAGCAAAATCACTGCTCTTTTATTTTGTCTTTGCTGTTTGAGGCCCAGCGAAGAGAATAAGATCCAAGCCAGGTTTGATAACGGAGTGCTGGGATGACCTGGTATCCAAAAGATCTTTTTAAAAAACAGAAATAGAGCAGAAATAGAGCAGAACACATTATGGGCTGTATGGAAGTGGACACACACCGCAGGTTTGGCTTCTGGAGTCACAAATGTGTGGCAGGACACGGATTTGGAAACCGTTTCTTGGCCTGCTGCTACCCAATGTGCAGCCAGAAAGGTATAGTCAGACTTAAGGTCTCAGCTGCATCCATGTCAGATTTCAAGATGGGCTTCAGTGCTCAAAATCCTTATTTTTTTTCCACCTAAACCTGTAGGTCTAATGAAAGACACCGTATGTCCCTTGTCTGTCCCCATCCCTTTTCCTATATTAAGCACTTCCTTAAAATTTATAAATAAATGTTTTCTACTAAATAACTACAAACATTACATCCATGCAGGAGGTTGGTTGKTTGTTAGCCAGCAAATTTTAATTAATTCTCTTAAATTTTTGAGCCAGGAAGGATCCATTCAGCCCCACAAATTCACCCAGCAAGTGACAGCAGGGCGAGAGAGTTATCACATTATGACAAGCCAGTCATCATCCGGCGGTGGCCAGTCTGGAATTCCTCGGAGAGGACTAACATCCGTGAGTGTTGCACAATAGAAGAAATCTTTCCTGACCTTGTTAGCGAGCAGGCTGTGCCCTTGTTACTGTTTGCATAAAACATTAACCCCGGGAGATCATTATTGTTAAAACTAAGTTTTAATCTGTTCAATTTTAACRTGCAAAGAATGTTGAAAAATCCTCGATGTTTTGGTTAGCCAACAACGTGCCTGCGTGCAAATGTGGCTTGGAAGGAGAGGAGGTCGGTTCGCTCAAAGTGCAGGCTGAGCTATTTTTGTTTTGCAAAAAGCAAAATATTTAATAACAGACATACTAGAATGATTAAAACGCCCTTTCCTGGCAACAGGCGCAGCAGGACAATGGTGTTTTTGTAAACCATGCACAGTAAGAAAATTACACTAAGGGATGGCTATCAAGGCCAAAAAAATGCTATTAGACCAGCACTTAAGTGATTATCACATAACTTCATGCAGCACTTTGAAATCAACCACTAATATGAAAGAAATAGTTCCCTTGAAATTCATCTTAGGGAAGAGGCTGCAATGAGCAGCTACCACCAGCACTGGAGATGTTTGCAGAGCGGAGCTACACTCACCCCTTTTGCTCTTGCCACCAAACTTTTATGGCTCTGTACGCTCTCCTTACGCTTGCAATTAAGTGCATCTTTACTCAGCACATATTTGCACGGTTTATAAGTCAAGTTGCTACCCTCCGCACATGCCCAATGACAGCATAGCCAGAGATGCTAATTAATGAATTGGCCTCTGGGGTGAAATTATGTCCTCGTTGCGAAGGCTCCCATTGATATTAATAAGGTCAGAACATCATTGCTGCTGGCTGAGTCACAGGCGAGCTGGATATTGCAGATGTGTAAACAGCAGAGCTGCCCTGGGAAGCTGGGTGCTGTTTATCTCTGGCTGAGCCGGGCTCGAGCCACAGCCGTATCTGGGGGTTAAAAATCACATAGAGTCATAGCCATAACACCACATTATAAATGCATTTTTCCTTCCGGAGAGACGCGCTGTTTCACAGTAGCCCTTTTCCTGCGTAGAAACTAACTCCAGAAATAGCTCCCTTCCCAAGGGCCTAGAACTAGCTACTCCCAATTAGCTCATAACCCAGCATCAACATTTTCTCTCTTCCTCATCCCCTGTGCTGTTCCCTTTGAAACTTCTGCCCACATCCCCAAATGCCTCAGTATCTCCCACTCCCGTCCTTCCTCTTCAAGGCCCTTTCTGTTGTCCTGCCTGTGGATATCCTGTCATGTCTGTGGCAGGAAACCCCCAAACTGTGTCCATTGTTGGGCCTGTTTAGCCTGGAGAAGAGAAGGTTGAAAGGGGATCATATCAACATGTACAAATACCTGAGGGGAGAATGTAGGGCACAGTACCTGAGGGGACGATGTCCCTTGTCCCCCCACAGATTTCCCAGCCTCCCAAGCAGAAGAAAAACATMCAGCAAAAAATTCCTAATACTCCAAAGAGTGGCTCCCGTGTGGTCTGAAGCTCTTCTCATTAAACACAAATTCAGGCTGAACAAACAACAGAGATGACTCTAAACAGAAACAAGAAAGAGGCTCCCCAGTGCTTCTCTTCCCTCTGTGCTTCATCTCCAAAACTTTGAGAAATCTGAGTCTAAATGCTGCGGGTTATGGCCCAGACTCAATTATTCTTGCTTGAAATACTCAGTCGCTGCTTGGCCAACCCTACATTTAACAACTACCACGTGACTTTCCTTCAAAACACTGTCTGGGTCATTTGAAGGGCTTRTTTGATTTTGCTTGTTCCCCCCTCCAGAATACAGATTCCCTGCAAACAAGTCACCTTTGTTTTCTTCTGGTTTCTATGATAAGGTCCCCCTCACGCTGATACAAGTTCTCCTCCTGTCATGCAAATGAAGAGCGTTTCCATTGAAGTTCCTCGGCTGACACAAGTGTAAGAACAGTGGGAGTGAGCTCAGAAACCCTCTATTTTCTACCCACCCACCTGGAAATCCTGCGGTGAGCGTGTTTGACAACACACATCCTCTTATTACACTACGTTTATGCATAAACTGGGAGATTGCTAGAGGTCTAGTTTGACCTTTCTTTTTCCTTCGTTTAGATGTGAATGTAATTGCCAGGATTCTTAGAAAATATACTTAATAAGGAATGAAATGCTGCAAGGAACAAAGGTCTGACAGATTTGCAGACCGGTAATGATGAATACTTGAAAAATATCTTCATTTACACGGATGCTTTTGATTTTTCATTTTTAGAGTCAGTAAACTAGTAACAGAATCTTACTGGAAATACACAGATAAGGACAAAAAAAAATGAGGAATATTGCCCCCTTACAAAGCTGTCATGGGAACTGTGACTAGTGAGAATMTAACTAACCAGTGTGGACTTCAGCTACACTGACATATTTCTCTGCAAAGCCCAGTAAAGCTTTACAGATCTTGGGATTTTAGGACTTTGGTTCTATATCTCATTCAAAAGACATGCCGTTGTGCTCTGTGCTGTTCCGTAACGCCACAAAGGACCACTGGATCAATCCTGATTCGGCCAAAAGCACAGCAGTGCCCGGATTATGTGGAGTATTCCTGCTCCACCTCTGTTTTTCATGTTGATTTTCTATATAGATAGGAGCCAGGCCCGAACTGGCTTTCTTTATGGGATCCAAAGTTTAGAAAATGTCACTCTGAATGGCACGTATGGCATCCAGCCGCCTAGAGCTGCCTCTTTTATCAACACTGCCACCCGTTCTGAGTGCTCCAGTTTTCGATTCGGGTCTTGAAAGAGCTTTTTAGAAGGATATGACCCACATAAATCCACCTGATTTCAGTGGGAAGATGTGCACGCTCTGAAGACCAGACTGTGATTGCCTCGGGTTGAATAACAAAGAAAACAGAAGCGACTGTTTGGAAAAAAAATGTAAATTTGGATGCTACACACAACATAAGGGACAAAAGGCCAAAACTTTGGAAGAATGGATCCTAGCCCGGGGCGATGACCTCTATAAAACCTCTCTTCTGAAATTCTGGCTTATTCTGAGACAACTTTGAGCCTCATGACCAAAAATAATGCATTGTGTAACGAGGCAAAAGGAAAATAAGGAGTCAAAAAAAAAAAGTAACCACTCTCAGTTTTAGAAAATTGACTTCAGTGTGACAAACACTTCTGAAAACGGCCATAAAATGGTAAATCCACCACAGCAGAAGCCAACTGCACCCTCGAATGCTGTTATTAATTAAAAGCAAGGCTTTGTGATCAATGCTTCTGCATAGTGTAATCATCCAGCTCCAGGCTGCTCTTTGGAAAGGGTGTGTTGAATGCATCAGCCCTTTTCCTGCAAGAACAGACCAAAGTCCCAAGTGTAGTAAGTAATTGAGAGATCATTGACCAACAGAATCAAGTAAAATGCAGTCTGGGGAAAGCCCAGACACGACACAAATAGCCCTGTCCTCCTTCCTTACTGAACCAAGCCCAACAAGGGGATATCGAAAGACATTCTGAGTCACTGACTGAGCCCAATACCACGCGGAGGGCGCTGCCTGAAAAGAGCGGAGCCGCCGTGATTATACGGAGCATTCTTGGAAGGGCTAAAGGGAAGCAAGGCAGTTCTGTGTGCTCAAAACAAAACAGCGCGGCAAAAGACAGGCTGCAGATTGTGAGAGGCGGCGCCCGGYGCTCCTCAGAGCCTCCTCAGAGGCRTTTCTGCTGTGTCTGACCTCGGCCACGCTCTCCTGCGCTGTCGGGGCTGGGGTCGCAGCTGGTGCCAAGGGTGCGAAAGCCTTGGCAGCCCCATGGTGGGTGCTGGACTCCAAGCACGCCGGCTGTGACATCCGCAGCAGTGTGTGTGTGACAGGCAGGGAGGTGGACCCTGCCCACGGGTGGTGAGGACGAGGATGGAGAGGCAGCGAGAGAGCAGGGAGTCAAACGCAGCTACTGTTGTTGCTGCACGTTATAGCGCTCTGGGGCAGCTCTCGCTTCCCGCTGACAGGTCACATTGGTGAGGAAGAGCAGGCAGCAAGGGAAGGGAAGCAGATGCTGTCACGGATGCCTGCCTGCGGTCTCTGCTGCTCCTGGACACAGCCAGCCCTCTGTAAGGGCTCTGATATCCATGCCGTGCCCGCTGGAAGTGTTCCCTGTGCTCAGAGCTGCCTTTTCTGGAGCGGTGCGTATGGAGCTGCCCTGCTCCCGTCCCCACTGCTACAAGGAAACACCACGCTGGAAATGCAGCCCGGCTCTGTCTGACTCACCCAGCAGGGATGGAAACACCTGCAAACACCTTCGCTGATCAGCCCCCGCCTCCACCACCCACGCGGTGGCTTTCAGCGCCCGGGAGCCCTCACGTTGCCACCCTGACCTGGAGGCTGCAGGGAGGGCAGCCCCACTGCAGGAACTGCAGCACGGACCAACCCAGTGTGGTGCCCGTGGCACCAATGGGGGACAATCCCAGTGATTAACACAGGGGCTGCAGTGTAGGTGCACCCGTGGAGAGCTCATTCCTGCCAGTTCTCCCTCCATCTGTCTCCCATGTCAAGCTGACCCTCTCTGGCTCTTGGGAGAGATGACTCTACATTGCTCTGAGTCTGGGGGACTGAGTCTCCTAAACTCCCTTCCCTGGCTACAAACAGACAACCAGCAGTGGCCGGAGACGCTGGCCCTGGACTTCAGGCCCATTTCAGTGAATCCGTGTCAAAAAYCACAACTCAAGCTTGCACCTCTTGCACAATCACCTCTCCAACTGATGCTACCCCAGGGGTGGCACCAGGGTGTTAGGTCTTTAGGCAGCAGCCTCTGCATGAAGCCAACGATCCAGCATGCTCATTAGTAGCTCCCAGGAGAGTCACTCCTGCTGAAGACCCGATGCAGCCACACAGGAAAACATCTTGCTAAAGAGCCAGGCAGTAGAAACTCCTTTCTACAGCTGACTCCTTGGCATTCCCGACAAAAGCAACCCTGGAGCTCCCCGTCTCTTCCTCTGGGACACTCAGTCTGGTGCTGTTTCCCTGCCACCCTAGCTCACAAGCTCTGCCACAAGCTCTCACACAGGGTTAATGGATGCCAGTGCCTTGCCTCACTCCAGAGAAATAAGGACCAATAGAAGTATCTCCAAAAGCAAGAACACCCTCATCCTGACTGTTACAGCAGAAGAAGAGAAGCCCAAGAGAAGGGGAGAAATCTGGTATTTGGGCTCCTTTCATCTCAAAGTCTTACTGCTTCTATTTGAATAACAGCACCTTACTGGTAGTGCTCTTAAAGTTCCTGTTCTCCTCTTTCCTCCCTTGCTTGCTCTGATCAGCCGTATTTATGGCTGTTGTGGTACAGGATGGCCTGCCCACTCTGAAATAGGCTCTATGTAGGTGGCTCACTCCGGTTTCCCACCAGTCTAATACCATCAGCCCTAGCAGAACTCCTCCTTTTCAGCAATACAGGCAAAAAGGGAACTGGGGCTGCAGTATTCAGCAGTAAGTATGGCACGGGCCAGGCTGCTGGGTTCCCTGGATGAAATTATGCTCGTTTAAATCAAGTTAATGATGGGCTAGGGACTATGTTTGCAGAGCGATGTAAACCCTGTTGTTCAACCACCCCGGACTAATTTGGTTTCAACAGACTTAGGTCCTCTGGGAGCTGGAACCAAGCATTTATACCGAATTTATTAATCWGTATTTTACCCAAACTATTTTTTTAATGTAATTAAGAGTGTGAATGGCCCTATTGACTTTCATTCATTGCAGTGTCTGCACACATGGTTAATCAGGTGCCTGTGAATAAGCAGGAGTGAAACTTCCACCGGGGTTTGGCCATGTGCAGTTGAAGCAGCACATAAGGAGCGTGGTTGCCCGATTACATCAGCACATGTTGGTTCCTCCGATCGCGACAGGCCAAACCAGAAAGGAGGTACTGGGTTTAAATCCAGCCTTCAAACCAGTTCTCCAAATGCCTCTTGTACTGCAGTGCAGAGTAGTTGTGCAAAGCATAATTAGTATAATACAACCCAAGATAATAACAGCGTAGTAGCAGGTATTTTATTAGAGGTTGCATGAACAGCACTAGTGAGTAGGAAACTCCTTAAAATATACAGGGCAAGATACACAATTACATACAGAGCACACACAGAATACATTATTCTATGCAGAATGCATCATTTTATGGACATTTTATACAGAATGCATCATTTTATGGACAGATCAAGCAGAGCCATAGGATCACAGAATAATTTATGCTGGAAGGAATCACCTGGTCCAAGTGATTCCCACCTCCTCCAAGCAGCTGAAACCACCTTGGAACAAATCTTAGGGTATGAAAATAAAAGGACAGTCAATAGCTCTGACCACTAAACCAGGATTAATCATTTCATGCTATTTAACTCCAGCCACAGATACCAGCATACTATAGGACTTAGCAAAGGATTAAACCAATTTTATGGGTGAAAGAAACTTGCAGTGAAGAACGCTAGCTCCTCACTTGATTAAATCATTGCAGCTCCAACAACAGGCGTATCAGCAAGGCCTGCTTTGTTGGAGGTTAAATGCCACAGCAATCCCAGGCTCTGCTTTACCCAGTGCTTTTCTCCGGTCTCCATGAGCTCGGCGTTGTATTTAACACTTCTTTTCTGGACAGCCCGATCCCAGCTGTACATGTGGACCCAAGTAAGGGAGTTGTTTTGAAAGCAGGAGGCACAAAGTGCTCGGAGCAGACGTGTCCGGCTGTCCTTGCCCGGACCTGTACCCCAGGCTCCCACCCCATGTACAGCCCTGAAGATCTCGCCTGCTGTGAGGTGCTGCTGTCTCAGCTCAGCTCCRTGGCAAAATTCAGGGTGATTTCCACAATTTGAGACCCGTGCAGCTGTTCAGGGATGTGCAATGCTTGGSTCAAGAATATTCCTACGTAATCCCGTGGGATCTTGGGAGGAAACAGTGTCTCATAATAATTCCAGGAGGTTTAGAGGTTTGGGTTTSATTTTTTTTCGCCCCTGTTTAATGAATATTACCAAAATGTAAAACCTGTTGTGATTTATTCCAGAAATATGAAAAGACTTTTTCTGTTTTTCTGCTGCCACTTTAAACTCTCCTTGGCAACATTGCTGTGCAAGCTAAGCCTAGTGCAAGCAAAGGCAGTAGGGGAGGAAAGGCAGGGCCGAGTAATCAGAAAAAGAATCCCYGATCAGCATATCGCTCATTAAAGAAGGGCCTGTGACAACTCAGGGCTTGCAGCTGCCCCCTGGCAAAGGCAGCAGGCCTGGATGTTGCTTGGACCATGGGCAGGACCTACACGTTGCCTTGCAAGTGCAGGCTCAAGGCTGTCACGAGGCCACCAGCCCCTTTGTAGATGCCAGAGCCAGTGGTGAGAGGCCACCTGGACTCCAGAGCTCCCAAGGGTACCGAGAACCTTGGTGCCCCCAYGTACTAAGTGTCTTGGTGCCCCCCTAACGCTCAGTATTGGCCAAATCCAAGAGCAGCTGAGTGGTTTACGGCACCCCCCATCAATATCCRATCTCAATATCCCAACCTACCGACCGTTTCTTCCTGAGCTGGTCAGCACTGTGGATGGAAAGGAGAAGCTCTGCATGCTTAAACCTGCACTTTGGACCTGCTCTTCACCTTGCAGAGAAGCTAAGAGACTACTATCAGGAAAGAAATATCAGTCTGGAAGCAGTGCAGCTGGAAGCAGTGTCATACAAAAGCTCCAGGGTGTTTATTAGGAAACATCTAGACCGTGCCCACAAGGGAGGTTACTGCTGCCACTGTGTTTGGGAATGCAGATGGAAAACAGAGAGGGAACAAGAAKCTCCCCAGAGGTGTCTTTGGAGCACAACATTGTGTGTTTTAGAATCAACATTRGATAGAGACATTATCTGGGGATCTGTGAATCAGCTTATGTTTGGTCCTGAAGGATAAATATGCTATTTCAGTAAACAGAATAATACCCACCTCCAAGGAACAGCTTAGAGACTTGATCAATATGACCTGCACATTTGATAACTGCATGCAGCGATCAGCATTAAGAAGTTGTGGTTAAGCCCAGAACAGCCAGGCAGAGCCAAGGCAATGCATTCCCTGGCTGAACGGAGCTCCAGCAGTGAGTAGGCAGTGATTGCCTTTGCAAAGTCATGGAAGTTGTCCTTGGGCCAGCCCAGGAGCGCTGCATCTRCTGCAGGGTGTCTCATACTTTCCCAATAGCACTGCCTCCGTCCAAGGGTGGGATTCCTCYCAGGTGACCCCAGGCACTGACAGTACAGAGGTCTCCATCAGAGCTGCTCTCAGAGGTTTTCTTTGTGGTCCCTAGAAAATCACAGGCTTTTTAGCATGTAATTTCTCTGAGATTTTTTGCATGCGTGTCCGCATTGCAGCCCTGAAACATGTACTCTGTTCCCTGATTGGAAAGGCAGTCTCAGGAATGCACATTATTTGCACTGTAAATGCACATTATTTGCACTAGCCAGGGCCTAGATGGATCCTACCCACACTTGCGTGCAGACTGACTCACAGCTGGGTTTCCCTTCGTGCGTGATCCCTCGTTCCTGTGCGAGGATGATGTGTGACTGCCCCACGGAACAGCTCAGCCCGCCGGTGCTCCCCATTCAGGTGCTCAGCACTGCAGGTCCTCAGGCTCTTCTCTACAAGCCTGTCCTCTCTGCAGTCATCAAGGAGGTTTCAGCAAATCCCAGCGAGTTTTAAATCAGACTCTGTGAACTGGGAGATTTAACGGGACTATATCATACCATGCAAAGACCCGTGGCAGTGGGAATTTCTGCCTGTTTAACATGGGACCCTGAGGAGCACTTTATTCCGCAGGCAGTCTCCAATCTACATCTCTTCCTGTAAAAGCAAATCACTGCTCTAGATTTGTGTACCCTCCTAAGCAATCCCAATGTGCAATCATAAAATCGCTGGCCTGAAGCCTCTGTACAGAAAGCTGCTCTGCTGGTGATTGCCAACCTGGCTTATTTTCAGGTAGTCCTACTCCTATATAACTCCTATGTAGCTCCTAAATAACTTTCCTGGATAGCTTTCCTCTGTAGCTCCCTATGTAACCTTCACTGACTAGTGTTCATATTTTTCTTTAAAATACTATAAAAACACATCTCATAATGCAAGTGTGTACATTGCTCCCTGGCATTAGTTTTAAAAGAGATCAATATGTTTCTAGTGGGAATGTATTGGTAAACAGAGCATTGACTTTTTCCATTATCAAGCATAATACATGTATATACTTTACAATCAAAATTGGCTTGTGTTCCAGCATCTTCTGTGCTGAGGAAGCAATAGGTGCAGAAGTTATATCAATATTTCCTTATTTCTGTAGTGGTATTTCTAAATTTCCCCACTGTTCCTTCTTTGATTCCTTTTTAATTACCAGTACAAGCAAATCTGAACTACATTCTCATGTCTATGAAGTTGTGTGTGTGTCATCAGGACTTCAGGTGAGGATCAGGGATTTGGTGCCTGAAGAACATCTCTCCTGCAGCAATCCCATAACTAACTGGGACTCTGCAATGGAGGAAATAGAGGAGGATGATAGACATAAAAAAATAAAGTGGTGGCTTTTAGCCTATGCTTTGCAGTCTGCTTTGGAAGTGTGAGAGTGGAAATGACTAGGGAAGACCAATGTTCAAGGGTCTGCACTTCCAGGGAAAACTGCAAAGGGTCCGCAAATGGGACAGAGCTCAGCAGGTATGCAATAGGATGTAGAAAAAAAGAAATATGGAGTTAATGTCAAAAAAAGGAGCCTTTGCTTGGTACAGCCTAGAGCTGTGAGGCAGARGAAGGATGGGATCACAAGGGCAGTGGTGGGATCACAAGGGCAATGGGTCTGAGGGGTGAGTGATGCTCCCTATCATCCTAGTGATGCTTTATAGACGAGTCCCAACACTCTCACAAAGAGGGGCCGTAAATAACTCAGTACCTCAGGTCAACTTTCAGCCCTTCCATTTGCAGAGAATCCTCCTGACCGTGTAAAGTGGCTATTTTTTATGATCRGGTACAAGAAATATTTTTCTATTTGCTATCTTCTCCCTTTGCTCAGAAATGGCTCCATCACATTTGCGGCAAACAGCAATAAATAAGTAAATAAATAAATAAACAAATAAATAAATAAATGAAATGATTCACCTGTTCCCAGATTGCCAGCTAAGGAGCGAGGCAGATGGGGGGAATAACTCAGGCGGCGACACACTGAGAGTTATGAGTGGGAACAAGGGGTTAAGAGCAGAGATTATTACACGGGAGTAATTTTAGCGACACACAACAAGCACCCTGCTATAATTAAGTGCTGAAAAATAACAGCCTACCATTAAGTGATCACATTATAGTCTCAACAGTGATCATATAGCAGTCTCAATAATGGTGTCAAACCAGGATATTCACCGCGGGATTAATGAGCAGTTAAAACACGAAAGCTCCCCACCAGAAGGTTAGCTCCAGGAAATGCCTGCGAGCCCGGTTGTTATTACTTAAATAAACAGCAAATGACGTGGGTGAATATAAAAAATTTTATTTTGTCTTATAAAAATGTCAGAGTAGAGGTGAAGGGGAAGTATTTTACAGAAAATATCCAGCTGCCAAGCTCTCCTCTGCATCTTTTTGCCAYAGTTTTAAATCAACACCCCAAATTCCTTAATTTGCCCGAGCCCAGACTGATGCATCCCTAGCATAAATTTAGTGAGTCCCCCAAGGAGAACAGGTATTTCTGCAAGTCCTGTCCTATAAGGGCCAGTTATATATTGCTTCTATTTCTGTATGCCTTTCCTCCTGGCATGGAAAGATCTCCCTCTTTCCCTACACGAGCGCACAGAGCCTGACAAACTCCTGACTGATGGTCAGAAAAGTTTCGGGAGCTGCTAGGGGACACCTAATCCCAGAATCAGGATGATTTTTTTTCCTCTCTAGCCTGATATCTCACGTTAGAGGCATAAGGATTAAGCAGGCTTAGGGAAGGAAGGTCGCCTTGTGTTGGGATGAGCACCTCTTTAGTGACAGTGATTTAACACTCTGCTGACTGTTTTTAGAGGATTTGCCTTGCTAATGCCGTAAAAGTCACCTGTCTACCCCAAAAAAAGTGTCAGTGCCTGAAAAAGGGGCAGCAAGGCAGCAGGTCTGATGAGGACAGCCCTGGGATCTGGCTGCTCTCGGGGGAAACCATGACCACCAGGATAATGAACTTATTCTAACCTCTGCCAGACAGGGCTTAGCTCTTCCACCCGAGCCCAAACTCCGCTTAGGACACAGAGGGGGACCAGGTCCCTGGGATGGGAAGCCAAGGGATTTCATGRATCAGTGGCTACTGTCTGTCCTCCAAAGGAAGGACAGAGAAGCTGTCAGCAGGACAAGGACGGGCTTAAATGGAAAGGAATGAGGTTTGTACTAATCCGTGGGGGAATTTTTATGAGGATGCGGTCAGGATAATGGGGTTCTGATATAAGCTGGGTGGAGAAGCCACTAAAACAGTATTGCTGGAGTTTGCATGGAGCAGGGTTGGCGGCTGCTTGCCAAGGGTGSCTTAGGTGGGAACTGGGAAAGCTCCCTGTAGCGCCCAGCTAGGTCTGCAAAGTGGGGCTGGAGAAGAAGATGGGGTCCTTGCTTGTGCATCTTGTGATCCACAGCCCTGGGTACCCGTACGTGTGTATTTACTATTTAATGC